AGCAGGAAAGCTGGATCCTGAGGCAGAGGTGTCCACTGTGGTAAAAGCTTTAGACATGCAGGAAGCACAGGCAGCTAGACAGAGGGAAATATTTAAGTAATTGATCTACTGGAGGATTCCCAAGGCCAGTTACCCATCCCTTCTTTTGGAGCCACAGACTTCTGGCCTACCCTCCAAACTGAACATCTGTTTAAGAGCATGGACCATCAATCTCTGTATCCCAGTCCCACCTCAGACTTCAGCAAGCATTATGTGTGACTAACTTTGCAGTGAGCCTGAACACTTGCTTTTCTGCTTTCATTTACATTTCACTGAATGTAGTTTACTTTGGCTTTGAGGGAAAATACATAAAGTTCCATGACACCACGACACAATAACCTATGACTCATTAACTTCAATGGTTTGTCTAATTGCTTAGGTCCCAGTCCTATAGTCCCTAAGGCAGAAAAAGGTCTCATTCCAGAGCCCAAGCTCACCCTGCAACCTCTGACCCTTACTACAAGAATTACTGTCAGAAAGGCTTCCTCTAAAGAGGAATGAAGAGGCTATGAAGGCAGCGAGCTCAGAGCTATGGCTAAATGAGCCAACAGTCTAAGAGGAACATCATATGCCAAATCAGTAAACATAGTTACTGCGCTTCTAGGGCCTGCAGCATGCTCTCCCTTCACGCTAATTCATGCTGGCTGTCCGAGGTGATAGGTAGAGAAAGCTCAGAAATAGCTCCTTTCTCTGTGGAAAAACTGTTCCCGATGCGGTCAAAATACACCATTTAAATCTCTGTCTCCCTCTCATGGCTAATTCATGAATACAATTTATAAGGGACACACTGAGCCATGTCCAGGTTAGTTATATGAGACACGAAAAGCTTGTTAGCCTAGACCCAGGGAGTTAAATGCATTTTGTTATTGACCACTCTGGGATACTATACTAAACTTTGTTGTATGACTGTAAGTTTCCCCTATGCAAAAAGAGAGGCTTTTGCATCTCCCTCTTCCATCGCTACAGTCAGGCAAAGTCAGTCACAATCAGGCTCTTGATCTGAGATCTTGCACCTTAAAGCACTCGGCGCAGAAGAAGGGAAGTGATGGATTTATGATGTTAGTTGCAATAGCTGAGTTATTGTCACATACGCTCAAACAGTGTTACGTTGCCTTCACAGCTCTTCAAGCTGTGACCATATAAACATGGTCAAAGCTTGCTCAAGATTTTAAGGCAAAAGGCATGCTAAGTAAAAAGGCAACCGGTTCTGATCAGGAACCTCTACAATTCCTGCAACCGGGTGGATGTTTTACAGTGCATTGTATTCTTTTTCTCACCTTTTAGAAGTGGGGGCATATCTGGAACATGAGTTTCCATCCCAGGCACAGTATGGGTCTCTGGCAAGGCAGCAGTCTGCACAAGCCTTCCCATACGTATGACATCTGTGCAGAGAGAGCTGAACCAATCCATCCCTGGAACCAATGTACAATTGTTGCTGCAAATCAGGCAAAGCAAATGAATTAGAAGCGTTCTCCAAGTAGCCCTTTTAAAAAGTTCCTTTTTTCAAGGCCACATTTGCTGACTTTCAACCTTGTCCCAGATTTTACAAAACAAGGGCGAATTCCTCCTTCACTGCACAATGTTTCTCAGGGCGCTGTGTGAACTGGCCAATCTCCATCGATTCCTGACAACACGACAGAGAAGACAGAGGACTGTAGTCCTGGAAAGACACCAGCACCCTTGCACCTTTTGCCTGAACGTGCTATATTAAAAAAAATCAAAAGCTTTCCACAGCAAGAGTAGTTTAACAATATGTTTAAAAAACAAGGGGAAGGATAGCCATGACTTTAAGAATCCGGACTGGGAACTAGCGATGACCTTGTATGAATAAAACATTAGCTTCTTTTGCTTCTGTTCCTCATGTAAAATGGGGATAATATTACTTCCCTCTCTCCCAAGTGCAACTGGATTGCCTGTTGAGACAAGGGTGGTCCAACTGCTGGCTGTCGAGCCGGATCTGGCTCCTGCAGCACTTCCAGCTGGCCTGCCACCTTTTTTCAGGGGAGAAGGGATGCAGCTGTGTGGTGCGTGCCCGAACAGCAGAATGCCTCCTCCTTGGCAGGGCAGGCACCAAGAGCTGCTCTTGCCACCTCAGTGGGGCAGGAAGGGGGGGAATCTGGTGTCATGCTGTCTCCCAAGCATGCACGTGGCCATCGCGGAGTTGCCATAAAGCAGTTTCCCATAGGGAGACTCCTAACTGCGATTGACCCCTGCAATTGCCTGGATTGGACCACCCAGACTTAGACTGTGAATTTAGACCAGAGCAACCAGTTTTCAGTCTGTATGTGTACGACTTTTAGCACAACGAGGCCCTGATCTCAGTGAAGTCTCTTGACTACTAGTAGTATAACAAGAGCAATAATAGCAATAATAATTTATTACTAGATTGCATAGAGCCAAGCATTTCTAGTGTCAGGAAAATGAATGCGCATTAACTTCATTCACAAATCCCACAGCCATATGACTAAAGATTTGTTTCCATGAATAATTACCAGCTTGGGTACACAAATTACTGTTTGTAAATAAATGTGAATTAGGCAGGCAAACAAGTTGAAACATATCTCTTTCTTTCCAGATACATTTTAAGAATCATCCATGGAAAGTTTGGCCAATAAGTAACAAACATCACCTGAATATAAGAAGCTAGATGTCAAGTATATAATATATCTTGCATTAATTAAATAAGCTTCTAAATTACCTGCTTCTGAGAAATTTCCATAGTCGAGATAAACGAAGGGTGCTGCAAAATGAATTAGTAAAGCTCATTAATTTACATATTCTTCTATTGTTAATGAAAAAGAGAACAGAACTTAACAACTGCCTGACACAAAAAGTAAATAAAATTACACATCAATTTACTAGGTTTAAACAGGTATGAAAAAACACAGAAATCTCTACATACATACTTCCAGAAATACCTCCCATGAATTTCCCCTGCTACTCATGAGGTGATTGGCTATATTTCATAGAGTTTGCAATTTACCCCATCCCAGGGACTAGCGATGAGCCTTCACATCAACTTAAGTTCTTATAAAGCACTATTTGGAAAGCTTAGATGGCACTTAAGGGATACATAGGCAGATCTTCTGCACTAGGATACATTTCACTTCTATGAAAAACAGTGGAAGTTTTGCCAGTGACTGATGGAGGATCAGAACAGAGCTCAGAGTATTATCTATCCCCTAATAGAAGATGATTCATCTAAGCCTATTGTTCAATTTTAATGTAGTCTAGGGAAAAGTGCATGTTTTTTCAGCCCCTCATCCTCTTCATTTTTCTGTTTTCAAAAACATAGAGGTAACATTTATAAATATTATCAATAAAAATGTGAAAGAAAGTCTGCTAGACAGAAAAAAAATCTATTTTTTTTGGTATTAAATATGATATGGTGCATTTGCCCCTGACGTTATATTTTAAGAACGCAGCAAATTGGTGCACATACCGAAACTCCTGATTACTTGGCAGACCACTGAGTAATCTTGGTATTTTCAGAATTATATTTATAATTAGTGCCCGAGAGAGTGGAAAGAAGACATACAGATCCTTTAGAACAAGAGTAATTTCACCATACGCAGGATATATCAAAAGGTACATGGAGAAATGTGCTCTTTGAAATAATTTTTAAAGATCTTGTCCTTAGGCTTGGAAAACACTGTGTCTAGGTTCCAACTGCATTTATTTAATATGGGTCAGAACTTCTCGCTACCTTCTACAGTGCATAGGAAAGAGAACGTATGAGAAAGCAATGAAAATGCCAGCCATACAGATACACTTCAGTGAAAAAGTAAGGTAAAAACTGAAGAAGAGCAGTACAGAGTGAGAAGGAAGAAAAAGGAAACTGCAAAGAATGAAGAAGAAACAAAAAAAAATCAGTAGGGAAGATGCAGACCTCCATTTTTCCACTGTAAACGTGCATCGGTGTTAGATATCTCACCAACAGTGAAGTTAATCAAAAATTGTGCTGGTGCAACAGAAAAAAGGTTTTGATTTTTTAAAGCTTCTGGTTATGAAGAAGTCATTAGTGTTAGCAGAGATACTGTGACTTTTCTTTTCTATCACTCAGCCAGAATAACCAAATCAAAGTGGTCAATAATGTTGAGCCAGTCCACATGAAAGAATTACAAGACATTGCTAATCAAGGCTTTCTTCTTTTATTAAAAAATGGGGCTCACAATAAGATTGTAATATAGAACAAGGCAGAATAATGAAATGGGCTTCATACGAGTTTGAAAAATCACAAGTTTTTTTGTTATTTCAATTGACTTATCCATTGAATTCCAAGACACTTAAAATGCTAAACAGTGTCCCTCTGGAAACTTGAACCAGTTCCAATAAACAAACAACCAGATAGATGAGGCCAGTTTGGTCCTTAAAGTCCCCTAAACAATATTAATGTAGTATCTCTTAATACTTACTTTGAAAATCTGAAGCTCTTCCAGGACCACCTCCTCCTTAGTCCACTTCTCCTTTGTGATACTTACAACTTTCAGTACTGTGCCTATGTCTGAAACAAATATACATCATGAAAAACCCACAGTTATGTTTCAGAGCTAGAGTACTACGTTCATTTCTTCTTATTTCATATCAACTTGATCTCAGATTCTTTCTTAAAAAAAAAAAAAGTGATGTTCTAAACTTAGGTTACAAAGAAAAAAATTGAAATAATGGGCACGGGAAATTAAGGTAATGCATCAGGGATGTAGGCTTCAAACGACAGCTATCCATACTAAATATCTGCTTGCCTCTCATACACTACACTTGTGGTTTTACCACATGGCTGAGCCAACACAACTGTAGGCTGCTCTTGGCAGGAGTGGTCTAACCCGCCTGCTACACACACACACACACACACGCACACACACACGCACACACGCATGCACAGGCACATACATGCTCTCATTTACAAGTTTCCGCATGTTTCCTTGCCCCAGAATTAGGGCCCATCTGACCTCCAAATAGACCCAGCTTGGGGACCTACGTTGGCAGAGAACTGTTTGCTTTTATTTTAGAGGATTCATTTTCATCCAGTTTAGCTCCTTAATGAAAAGTAGGTTTCATTTTAACGTGAGGAATTACACACTGTATTTTTTCTCATTTATCTTGTCATTTTAGGGAAATGCCTGAACAAAGACTGCTTTCAGCATCCGAATCTTCATTTAAAAATGGTAGAAACAGCTTCTTTGGATTTATATGGAGTTTGTTTATTTTTTTTTTAAGTTGAAGTTATATATTAATTTAAACCTGAATTCCTGATTTGTGAAGAAAATAGCTACCCAGCCCAACTCATATCACCACAAATAGGTGAATCTTGAACTGCTGAATTCTGAACTGAATAGGGGACGTGAACTGGATAGCTGGAACATGCAATGTGGAAATAACACAAGACAGATTAATCCTAAGCATTATGCACAATACTGAAAAGATGAACAATAATACTTTAAAATGGTAAAGAGTCAGATATTCATTCTCTGTTTCCCATACAATAGGAGATCACACCACTAATCAAAGTTAAAAACATGTTTGCCTTATATGTTGGCCTTTTTAATATATTTGGCAAAGCCCGCGTATGCACGAAGGGCTGCAGTTAGGTTGTGTGTACAGAGCTGCCGGCCTTTCTAAGCTCTGCCGTAGTTTGGCTGGATGCATTCAAACACATAAGCTCCCGATCTGCTGCTGCTCAAAATCTCCTGAGTTATTTGGTGTATTTGTATTCAGCCACTACATACAATATTTGAAATTTTATCTTTAAAAAAAAGATAAAAAGTTTATTTTTCTTTTTTTCGTAGGACAAGTTTAAGCAGATAAAATGGAACAAAAACTTGCTTTTGGAAAAGAAAACTCTCGCTTTTAACGAGAGCATTGCAGACAAAAAATGTTTGCGTGTTACAGAGTGCCACCTAGTGACTACCTAGTACATGCAGGCCTAGACATCTCTAAGCCTGAAGAATCGCTCTGAAGAATTATTCATTTATGCAGGCCAGTCACATGTGAGTATTATAGCTGCTCATCTCTCAATATAACTTAATTTCTATGAGAAACTATTATAATCAAGGATAGCAAAACCCTGAAGGCAGCCTTACAACCCTTGAAAGAATATTTTGTACATTTTAACCAGCGAACTTACCTTTTCTGACAGCTTAAGTTTTAAATTATTTTTCAGCATTATTATCTCATGAAAAGTAAGTTTTAGATGGAGAGGGCACTCTCAAATCCTAGGCATCTCACAGCTTGGCAATGTGATCAATTTTCCACTTTGATGGCTACAAGAAAGCTTGCATTCAGAAAGCAACTGAGATCTTCCACGGTCATAGGTGAAATTTATCCTTAGCCTTCCTAGCTGGCAGGTGGGAAAAGGCTATATCAATGTTCTTTTCTGTGAGTAAGCCTCAGGGCTTTGCAGTCTGGTACCACTGCATCCGACAGTCAGGGATCGCAGAGGGACCCTTGCATTTTATTTTTTTGGAAAAAAAAGTTGTGAGAGAGGTTGAGCTGAAAGACATTAATGCTCCAACAGAGAGGCAGTCTGTGAACTCCTGTGCCATGATAACAGAGCTGCGAAGCTCTTGAAGGCTGAGTCAACCCACACTTTATAAGAGGTGATGCTCTGTGATATTTAAAATTCAATTGCTTTTTTTCCCAATCACTTCAGAATATCCAAATCTATCAAATTACTGTGTAGAACATCAACTTTGCTTATAAGCCAGACCAAAGGCAGTGCAACTCAGCAGCACTGAGCACTGAGGTAGATTCAAACAGGGACCTTAGTTTCTCTACAGCTCATGCCAGTGGCTTACTTGTTGGCCTTGGATAAACTTTTTCACTTCTGTGCACCTTCACCCCTTGTGAGATGGGGATAATGAGAGTGACCTTCTTGGCAAAGCAATCAGATCTACCAGTGAGAAGTGCTTTATAAGAGCTGTTAATACTGAGGGAACTTCAAACTGCGGATTAGGAACAAAGAATTTCAGTGGAGCAAGAGAGTGTATAATTATTTCTGAAACATTATGAATAGGTATGTTAATATTTCTTAGCATACCATGCTGTCAGGTGATCCTTCCAGTGATTTTAAATTTAATTATAATGGTAAAAATATACTTTTTCCTTAAGGCATGTAACAATCATAAAAATGTAAACAGATACATAATTATGCATAACATAACTGCAAAGCAAGTTTCTTCCCTGACAGAGTAGTTCAATCTCTATCTGTTTAATTCCAGACCTCTTATTTGGAGTTATTCATGTTGCAAAGCAATATTTTTAAAGTGTTTAAGTGGAATAAGGTAATAGCTTTAGGCCTAATTTTAAATGTTCAGTGTCATATAACATTTAATACTGAAGCACTAAGTCACTTTTGATAATGGAAAATACTCCCTGAAGTTACTAAGTTTTGTTTTGTTTTGTTTTGTTTTGTTTTGTTTTGTTTTTTAATGGCTTATTGATGTGCTACCACAGGAATTAGAGCCAGACCACCACATAGTACAAAGTCAGGTACTAAACAGCCCTTGGAGGGTAAGAAAGACCAGTTACTCTCAACTTTAACTGAGTTATCTTCTCAAGAGCAAGAGATGTTAAGATCCTCATCTCAGAAGCAATCTCCTGAGCCAACAAGTCCCTCTAATCTTAGTATTTTTATAAAGTGCTGGCACAGACTCAGGGGCACCTAAATCCTTCTTGAAGTTGCATGCAGAGGAAAAAGTATTACTTTTAAAAGACGAGATTGAGCTTTTGTGATGTTAACCAAAAGGTTTCCTGGGGCCTGCTGGAGCAAGAGAAAGCGTTCTTAGGGGATAAGGCTCGTGCAGAGCGACAATGGAAGACCTCTCATACCTGTTCCTAGGAATATAACATCATATTGCCCATCTTCTGCCATGACGTGATCCACCACAATCTGCGTCAGCCGATAGTCCACATTGATTCGAGTAAACACTGGTCCTCCTGTCACTGGGTAAACTGATTTGTACATCAACGGATGGCGTTTTATAAAGCTGATGACTTCATCAGGAAAATCTCTGGTAGACTTTATAAGTGGATCGTAGGTTTTGCTTGGACACTGAACAAAAGAGAGGGAATAAGAAGATGAGAGGAATATTAGGAAAGAAATAGGAGTAATTCAGATTTATTTGCGTGTTTTGAAGTCTAGAGGTTTCTATCCAGCTCCTCAGTTATCTTGAAAAGCAGGATACTTGCACGTATGCCTACACGGGAATATAAGTTTAGTCAGTTGTTTCCTTAACCTAAAACCTTGGCTACCCAAGGCTTATTTTGTATACACCTAAACATGCAAACCAGTTCAAAGACTAGCAGCTATCAGCTGCTAATGGGCATGTCTATAAAGCACTTTTGCTAGTGACCAGTAATTTAGCTTACAATTGAAATAGCTCAGTGTTTTTTTGAAAGCATAGAAGCACACTGGGATGTTCGGCATTCACTTTCAGTGTATGCTCGCTGCTTTGGCTCTTCAAAGGGTCACATTCTTCCTTTTTTTGCCACTTTCTTCTCTTCTCTTTTCATTTCAAAAGTATTTCCCCTTCATCTTCATTTTATTTTTGTCTTGCTCCCACCTATTTTCCTTTGTCTTTTAAAACTACCTAAAACTCGCTAATTTGTTTCACCTTGCCCATTTGTGCTACTGCTCAGAATTACAAATCTTCAGTTCCTGTTGGTAATATATCGACACCTGCACCTACCCACAGATATAGGCATGCTTTCAAGAAAAAACACCTATAGATTTTTCTTCTTTCTCAGGCATAACTTTCACTAACAGAAATTAAAATATAGAGAGGAGATGAATTGCTTCTCTAAGATACTAAGGGAAAGGAAGTATTAGAAAAAAGAGTTTATCTGTTTGATGTTGGATAAAGTGCTAACAATTCATATATGTATCTATCTATCTATCTATCTATCTATCTGTAATCACCAATTATTAAAAGCTACCCATACTTTTTGAGGTATATTACCAAATGGCTTTTAAGACCATAACCAAGATTTCGCCTAGCAATCTTCCTGAAGAGAGTATTAAATATGACATTAATAGGCGTCTCGCTATCACCAAGCATGACAATACAATATTATTGTGAATTTATTACTTTCAAGTCGTACCTCCAGTACTATGAGAGATATTTGTTTCTTTTCTTTGCAATATATTTTGGAGTCATCAAAATTCAGTTATTAACAATCCAATAATATAGGATAATCTCCAACTTTTCTTTTCTCATTTTGGAACTACTAGGATATAATACTGTAATAGCCACTGACAACATAGACCACGCCAGAAATTTGGTCTCATGTAAGTCACAAATTCAGTCTACATTCAAGTTGAAGCCACGTCTTCTGCCAGAACAGCTGGGAACTCGCTCTGAAGCCAGTAAGAAATCAGAGTGCTCAGTGCTGCATCTTGAACCACTGACCAGAAAGCAGCAAGAGTGCCCATCAGTTCATTCACTGAAAGCTTTTTTTTTTTTAATCAGAAAAATTCTCATGATGAGATGCATACATCCATAAGAGTTCCATCTTCCTCATTCCCTGCCCCGCTCACAGAAGCCTTATCACTTCAGATATTTTCCAAGATAAGGAAATCAAGTCTGAAGTGAGTGAATGACCTATTATTCTGTCTAGCTCGCCATTTCAAGGCATAGGTATCCATATACAGTTCAATCTGCTATATGCTGAATAAACTAGCTTTGCTGGTACCTGTGTAAAAGCCTTTCAAAGGTAAATCTGCAGTGCCCTCCGGTGGCTACGACCGGATAATCTCAACGACTCAAACTGCAGGATCTATTCACAGATCAAATATTTTCTGTTTTCTGTATTTCCTCTGTGTTCAGCAAAGCCACAGAATACTTCATCTGCCCATAGAGGAGGAGGAAAATCAAGTACAAAAAGTGTAAAAAAAGAGTGGAATATAAGCAGAAATATTTCTGCCTGTTCCCTATTCCGGAGGGACTGGCAGTGTCTGACTGCTTCTCTCCTTGAGGCTGAGTTTCTGCTCTGTTCTTGCAGTGGGACAGAATAGGACAAGTGTCCCATTGGCTTGCCCTGGTCTTTGACTAATGCTCGATTCCTCCACGGGAATACGCCCAGAGTCACTGTGGTAGAAAGCTACTAGTAAGTGCTTTACTTATGTTCCTTTTTTCGTTATTTTATTTTTATTTACTTCCAGATTGAAATACCCAGGCTTATCTTTTCCTTGTATGGGCAAGCAGAGGCCATAACTTTTTAAAAAGCTGCATATGCCAGCCTCATTTTTCTTTTTTCTGTAATAAAGGCATATTCTCCAGATGCCAAATGGTCCCCGTAGCTCATTATTTCTCAGAGGTGACTTTTTTTACTCATTCACATAGATGAAAGCTGTGCTCCAGCTCACATCTCCACAGCTGCAGCATCCTGCTCTCTGGCTCTGAACAGCAGAGCCTCATCCTCTTCTGAGGATGCAGCGATCCCTCTCTTAGACCATCCTTGCCTCGTGTCTCTCTTTCACTGCTGAGGTTGGCTCCCACCTCTATTCAGCCCTTACCAGCAACCTAATCAAATTCAGCTGTTCATTTTCTCACACATATCTTTGTGCTTTATGCCAGGCTGGTCCTAACACTTCTCGTCTGGAGACTATCATAAACCTTCATTCTCACTCTCCTTCAAACCTCTCCTTAACTTGCCTTTTGATGTGAGCCCAGGAACTCTCACAAGGCTGATCGTGCTGGTGCTTTGTGACCCATAATCTCTCATACTCACCCCTGTACCTGCTCTCCTTCTCATGCCTTTTGTGCATCCTTTCACTGTCCCTTGTCTTACACCTAAGTCTGTTATCCGAGTCTGAGAAATCTTTTATTTTAGTCTAGATGAGTTTAAAAGCATTACTAGGCAGTACAAATCCCAGACAATAATAAGAACTGGAAAGCATATTCCAGCTGATGACATCCTTTCACGTTTGCTTAATTTTTAAAACTACTTTTGAGTAAGTAATCCCTGTGCTTCCTGCCAGATGGAGCCATAACACAGTCTGTGAAGAAAGAAATATGATGAAATAGTGTCTTCGCAGTGTGCTGGGACAAAGTTAGGATTTGCGGTGAAGTTGCTTTGCAATCCTCCTTCACAGCTAATCCCTACAAACAGAAGAAACTTCAGGCCGCATTCCCAAATCCCCAGCTCAACACGCCTTCTATCCGGGGTGCCAATTAAGGGCTTGCGGTCAAGATTTGTTCCGTGACGTAAGGCTTGGCGTTCTCCAAAACATTCGCATTAGGAGTAATACATACAGTGCCAAGGGCTGAGCATATCCCCCCTCTTCCTTTGCTGGTGATTATTGTCATGGCTAGGCAACTTCAGTTCGTAGGAGCAAAGCTCTCCCTGCGGGCTCAGGACCAGACCCAGACCCTTCTCTCCCTTGGAGATCCTTCTCCTCCCCACTGATAGTTCCCTGCCTGTGCTGAGGCATGCACACAGCATAGCACATGTCCGTAGGACAGTGCATGTCAGAAGATGGTCTTGCAAATTTAGCCTCTCCTCAGCTGATATAGGTATTGTGTACCCACGTCTAAGGATGAATCAACTTAAAGTTCTTCATGTGGTAAATGCAGCTAATATTATGCAGAATTATTCTACTCATATACAGTTGTATATGAACATGCATTTGCATAAATATGCTACATAAAAAGATATAGCGACCAGTTAAGCCAAATCTTCTAACTGAGGATAACATTCTCAAAAATGTCAGAGATTACCTCTGATTATTCATAAATAAAACAGGCCAGTGAAGCACAGATCAGTTAATGTTGTTATGGTTTAACCCTCTTACTGTCCAAAAGAGAATGGACACATTAAAATGCCACCTTGGGACAGTTCTCATCTATCTTTGACCCCAAACGGTGCCACAGCATTGCTTGGGAAGGTACTAGTTGTGGCAGGACTGCAGTATGGCATGGCTGGTACTAGCATTAAACAGCATGGTGACTGTGGGTCAGTGCTTGAACCCAGCTTCTGGTTCTGTTTAGCAATTGTGTAGCCTGAATGATTTAAAAGACCACAAGCTATTTCCTGAACTTGCTTGGACCAATTTTTACAGCTATCTAAAGACCTCATAGATGTTTTGAGAGCATTGACTTGCCTCACTCAATAGGAGTTAAGCCTGTGCGTCCTTATCTTCACAAAGTCTCTGAAAGTGACTCTAGAAAACAGGGCTTAGGCTGCTGAATCACTCAACGGCTTTTGAAAACTTCTTCATGAGACAGTAAATCTGTGCCATTTGAATTAAGATACACTTCACAGCATGTTCAGTCATTTTGTTTCAAAATATAGTGTAATGTATGGCTATAAAAGAACTGACAAGAAAACAAAGCTATGTCTGTATTGTTGTCTTGTAATAACTACTCAAAGGACATTCCTTGCAAGCACAGCTTAATACAAGTAGAAAGGAAGAAGATGAAAGCCTATTGAAAAAAATAGTTCATTTGGAAATATATGTACTTTTCCAGTGAGTTAATCCTATGGACTTTCTGCTAGCATTTGCACAAAAAATTTATCCTCTGATTTGCTGAGCGTGATCTCCCATGTTCTGTTTTCTGCTGCACTTTTCAGCAGAAAGGCTTCACAGATTAAAGGCTTTACAAGGTTAGACACTCAAGGTGGGCTGTAATCAGCTTGGTTTTTGAAGATAACAATGTTAGTTTAATAATTTGACACAGAAATATATGCTTTTGTATTACATAGCAGAAGATATTGCAGAATGAGTGTGGCAAAAAAGGCAATTCGTTTTTAGACTTTTGAAAAAAAAAATCCAAAGTGAATCATATTACAAGAGAAATGATTCAGACAGCCTAATAACTACACAAACACCAAGTCATGTTCACACTTGAAACATAAGCAGTGCTTCAGAAATAGACATTTCTCCTTATGTTTAGAACAACTGAGTCTGAGTTTCTTTCCACTTATATGGGAATCAGACTTTAAAAACCCTGCAGATTTCAAAAACAAATTTATGTTTATAGGGGCTGAATCAAAGTTTTCTGAAATCACTGGAAAGAGACACATGTTCTGTAACGGCCTTTGAATTAGAAT